GGGTGCGAAAAAGGCCTTGTCATTCCCTCACACGCCCTGGTTTGGCATTTTGTGCTCGTATTTGGAAGATCTCGCCTCAGCGAACATGAGTTAATCCAGTAAACTTTTCTTGTTGTTTTATTTTGCACGGACTTCAGTGTAGGGTGCAGAATTGCTTGTGTGAGGTAAAAAAGAAACGATTAAGCAGAAAAATTGAGTTCGAGGGCGAGAGGCTGTCGCCATGTGGGGTTTTGTGTGATATCGTTGCGGTTTTCTTTTTCTGAACTCTTCACGAGGTTGTTAAATAATTTTTATTGGCTGCCGTTTCGACGGAATCGTTCTCTTCAGGGTTGAATGTCCGATTCTTGAGAGCAAACAGAAGTTAGTAGTGGGAAAACTAGCAATCTGCGAAATATCTGATTCCATTTCCTAATAATTAGGGAAAAAGGAGCAGTGCGGATTGTTTCAGTACACTGGCCTTTGAGTGCTTCCGAGGACTGGACTTGGAAGCTGGCAAAGGTTATCTAACGACTTCGGGAAGTGTTCCGACGAAAAAACTCGCAACATTAGACTATATTACGCGTTCTGCTTCGCACTGCTTGCTTTAGCCTGTGTTTTTTCTTTTCAGGTTATTTTCACTTTTCAAGAGGTTTCCTTAGTTGTGGTACCGCTTTTTCTTGCTTTTACAAGTGTTATTATACTTCTCTTTTCAGTGACGTCTACGATATTTGTGTTGCTATACCTGAACCACTAAGTAGCCGACTATATACATCAATGAAGAAATGCATTGAGATGCATGTAACAAGCCTCTACGAGGTAGTTGGGAGGTTTTCAATGATAGGATACTTAATTATCTATTTATTTCTCTATATAATACCTCAATTTTATGGATATTTACCATTTCAAGAAAATAGCCAACGTTCCTTCTGACGATTTATTGAACCAGTATTATTCAATGTGGAAGATCTACTATAAAGGAGCCAACTACGTCCATAGGCTTTTCGGGTAACATTGTTTGAACAGATGATTATTGTTCGATTTCAATTATTACATGAGCTCCATTCGTTTAGATATCTAAA